GAATTCTTTTGCATCATGATGCACATGTCACCTGGTTTAAGGTTATGACACAAATACTGGCTCTGCTGTAATAATGCTCAGACCTGTGCCTGACTCGGGGTCTTCTATCTTCCACCAACACCCTGGACATTTTGGCAGGCTATCTGGTTACCCGGTCAATAGGTTATGATTCATACCCTTCACAGTTCCAGACTCTTACTTAACCCTTCTAAATCTCAGTTTTCCTATTAAATGGGAATAATAAAGGGATTTTGGTGTTTAAAGGGGTTGATTCATGTAAAGAGATTGGGCTAGATTTTGACCATGGTTAAGTGCCCAAATAAGTTAGTTATTTTATCTATTCCTGTATGCAAATGTTCCAAACTCAAAAAAAAAAGGTTAAATATTCTAAAAGGGACTTAAAGCCCAAGGTAGATGAGAGTTGGACTTACAAGGTTCTTTGAATGTACTTCAGTTTCAAAAGCTCTGAAATAACTTAATGATGTTATCATGGAAAAGAATACCGTTGGTAACTTTTTAAAATATTCTGAAAAGAAGAGAGGGGTCAGGAAACCAAGCATGTCAGAATTCCCAGTTTCAACAAGATGGATTGCAGACACTGCAGACAGCTTGGTTAGATGTGGGGCCCTGAAAATATTCTAGAATAGATGATTAAACAGATGGTTTGGGAACCTGTGGAAAAGAACACAGTGATCGTTGGAAGCCAGAACGAGTTCACATGCCTTGTGCTGTACTCATATTTTTGACAGGATCTTTGGATTAATCACCAAAAAACTGTGAAAATAGTATAGCTCAACTTCAGCAAGAATGGGCAATGTGGGAAGGAGGAAAGTGGGTTGAGTGAGAAGATAAATAATGCATCTACTGATCTGAAAGAGGATTCCAAATGAAGTACCAGCTCTATCTTGTGTATTGTGTTTAGACAAGACTTAATGATAGAGAAAACACATCTGAAGATGACACAAAGATGGGAGGGAAAGCCAATGACATTTTAAAATATAGTTCAATTGATCAGAGACACAGGCATTATTTAAACATYCTCTCCTATAACCCTTACAACCATGCTCCAAGTGGCAGGTATTGTCCCTGTTCAGCTGATGAGGGAATGGAAGCTCAGAAATCTGGATAAATCAGTAAATTGTCTCAAAGTCATGCAGCAGATCAATAGCACAGTCACAATTCCACCCATCTGTGCCACCCCTTGGCCTGTTGAGATGTGACAACACTATCCACATCAAGGAGTTTTGGTCATACTGAATTAGCAAAAATTGCACTTAGTTCTCAAGGGTCATACTTATGTGGCAAACTAATGAAGAACTGGAACAAATTAAGTCTGAAGAGGAGTTGGAAGGGGACATGATGAAGCTTAAAGGCATTACCATGACTTGCCAGATCTCTGTGGTCTAGTCCCTGCTCAGCTCTGAGGTTTTGTTTTTGTCCCTGTCCTTCCAAAGAATCCCCTCTTCCTAAATCCAGTCCTACTGACCTGCTGGCAGYTGTCTGAACATCCCTTCTCTTACATCTTGAAGTAGCTGTACCTTTCATTTTACCCTCTCCATCACCTATTGCTGTCACTTGACCAATTCCAAAGACCCAAGCCTGGGTCCAAGCCCATCTCCCTTCTGCAGGTGGCTGTCAGCTGCAGCTCCTTCAACAGACTGTGCCAATGCATTTCCTGCTCAATGATGGAGCTTTAACTCACCCACCCCCAAAGAAGACTCAAAACAGGTTATTTTAAGACCCCACTAATATCAACTATATTATCAAAAAGTAATGTATTAATTTAACAAATCTAAAATACCATCAAAATAAATAATTTCCTAATGGGAATATAAGGTTGGTTTTTCAAGGCATCCAAAAATTGAATACACTGCTGTCTTAACCCCAGGAAAGAATGAAAACATAGCAGCACCTGCAAAAGTTTGAGTCCCTTCCAAATTGCAATCTCCCTCTTCTTTTCCAATACAATTACTGGGAGGCTCTTCTTTTGATATTATCATAGGTATTTTGAGATGAGGTTCTCTATTTTTAAAGGACTCAAATCAGTGATGAATTGCAAATGAAGAATTCTGAAACTGTCTGCCTGGAAAAAGGCAGAAAATGACAAATTAGTGACAGAAAATAATCTCTCTAGCTTTAGAGTTATTGAAAGGACACCATGTTGAAGGAAGTGAGGTGTTTGTGGGATCATTTGTTCCTTACATCCAAATCAATGACATATTAAATTCATTACATGCCCCCTGATACCCACCTATGGTCAGGATGCAGTTTGATAAGGAAAATGCTCTTCCTAGGACCACCAACTGTGAGGCAATGCCATGGAGCATCCAGCCCCAGAAGATGCCTTTATTTGGTCTATGTCTTGTATAGCCACAAGAGCTTGGTCTCCTATAAAGTAAACCACAAAAGGCAAGATTAAACGGATCCTGCTTCCCAGAGTTGTCGGCACAGTGCTCTGTTTAAAGTACTGGGCCTAAGACCTGCCAAGGCTTCTCAGAAGAGCCATAAAAGGTACGAATCTCCTCTCCCATCCTCATTCAAATGATGTTTTAATGGACAATAAACAGCAAGCTTTATAAATAAGCAGAAATCAGGAGTCAGAGATTTTAGGAGGGATGTAAAGACTGAGTTTTATATCTGCAAGTGGAACTGCACCCAAAATCTAATTTTAGCCATTAGTACCACATAAGAATTGTAAACAAGGGAGGGTTAAAGTGGAGGTTTAAATTAACCTTTTGTTTTTGAGGTAGCTGTGGATGCTCTGTGGGTTTCTTCTTGAGTTTTCATTGTTTCTCTATAACCTTGCCCTGTTGGTTTTGATGACCTTCTTGGGCCAATCTTGAGCGCATTCACTGCTTCTCTGATCCTGTGAGTTGAAAGTGATCTTCAGGATGATGAAAACACTTCCTTCAATACAATGCTATAAAAATAATGAACATTTTCTGACATTCACCGTGTTCGCTGCATACTGTGAGGGAAGATTTGTAATCTATTGAATTAAAACAAAAGATCTCCTTTCACCTAAATAGGCTCAGAACTTCTATTCAGACACCAAAAGTTCCCATCACTTTGAAATTGTTGTCAGAAAGCTGGCATCTGTGTTAATGCAACTTATACCCACTGCTCCTATTTCTGTTCCTAACCAGTTATCTCCCCTATATCTGTAAAATATTAAAAAATATTTTCCCCAAACTAAAGAGCCTCAACTCTTTCAGCTCTTCTTCCTTAAGGTTTCTAGACCATTCGGCTGCTAACCACATGCTGCTGCTTATACCCYAATTAGTCTCTCTGTCTTTAAAATGAGATCCAGGAACAGGGCTGAGGCCAATGAGGGTCTCCATCATTGGACCACCATCCAAATATCAAGCACATTGGCCCTTACCACTACACAATCCTTGTCACCCTTGACCATAAGCATAGGCTACAGCTATTGAATAAGCATTAACTGGTGGCAATAAAATGTTGTGGCAGAAAAATGTATGGCAAATCTGTTCAGCAAGTCCAAGCCATACAACTTAGGAAAGTGTAGGTTTGAATAACTTTAGAAATGAGTTTGAATTCACTCTGTCAGACTCTACTTAGGCAATTCAGATAGGAAACCTTCTTGTGCCTCATGGCCAACAGAGCTGGGGATGATGACCTGGACACACTGGGAWGTCTTGTTTGAAACCTAGAGGTTAAAACTATAGAGGATTACCCTCGATCTCTGTATTGGTTCAGAACAAAGCAATCTGGCAAATCTTTTTCTAACTCTATATTCCAGGTACTTAAATGTACATTGGAGATGTCATTTGAGATGTTTTAATACTTTCTAATATGTTTTCATTTGAAGTAGATGACTGGGTCAGACCAGAAGAACCAGCATTACTAAAATGCCAAATATGGACATCTCTATAGGCAAGAAATATTTCAAGAGAGGAAAAGCTATTTATATAAGCATTTATATGATAAGCATATATATAACTATTAGTATTATATAACATCCCAAATGACCACTACAGATGTACCACTAACCGATTAACATTTAACTGAGAAACTACTTTGGCAGAACATGGCTCTTTCTTCAGATTCCCCTGAGTATGCTGGATTGTATATAGGGACAATTGTGAAGCTATCAGAAAAGGATTTCTGTATAACTCTACACWGGAGGCCTTTGTCTCCTCCCAAAGGTGGCTACCAGTGCAGAAATCTCACTTGGCCTCAGTCAGAATGGTATGGCCATACTGAAGCTGGATTCCCTACCCATCTGTACTCCACTGACCTGCCATCTCATTTTCAACTGTCTTTAAATCATCAATTACTGGATAGGCTTTCACACTGGAATCAGAGGTCTGTGTGGGCAACTCAGAGAAAGTCTCTGGCAAGAGGGATTTTTATAAAGAARTGTGGATATACATGGAAAGGGGTCAGACACACTGAAATTCTACAGACACCTCATTAAGCAGAAACAGCAGAATTTGTTTGATAATAAAGTGGTTTGTTGAGATTTAGGATTTTATTAATATTTATTTTTAGAAAAAAGAAAAAATTTACAAGATGCAAACATTTCACACAATACATTATCAATGATGGTTGTTCTCCTTATACCATAACATGGGCCCTGTCTTATGAACTAGTGTTGGAAAGAATGCAGACAGCATGGATGTGCTGGAGATCCATCATGGACAAGCAGAATACACCACAGTGGACTTGATGACCAATGATGTTGGACCAGGCTGTTCCAAAAGCAAGCCAAGACATGGTGGAAACCAGTGAAGCCTTTCTGTGGGGGAGGCGCGGCTGTGTGCCTCTGCATGCGCACTGCCTCCCATCAGCWGCACCCACTGCCTTCAGATCACAGCAACTACAGAAAACCTAGGGGTCTTTTGGGTGGTTGTTTTTCTTTTTTGTTGTTATTGTTGTTTGGGGGTTTGGAGGGGTTTTTCTGTTTTTGTTTTGTTTTGTTGCAGTGTTATTTAGATTCCCGATTTCTTATGTATATCTTCCTTTTCATGTCTCAGTCCCAAATTCTTAAAGCAGTGTAGGTACTTAGCATCTTGAATTTTTCAGGATCCAGATCTGCCCAATGGTAATGCACTAAAAAGAACAAAAAGATTCATTACTAAGGAGGATTCCAAAATTTTCCTTCAACTCTAAATAATATAGGCACATTAGCATTAAAAAAGTAGCTGAAGATATCCTTTCAAGCTCACCCAATGATACTAGCATGATAATGTTTCATTACATGGTAAAAAATCTGCCATGTTATTATATATAAACCCAAATCTGTTTTTTGAGCTCAAAAGATACCAAACCAAATATGTAAATACACTTCTTAATGGTATTTGCATCAAAGAGAATTCACAAGGCAAATGAGGAAATATTTTGAAGTAAATGAAAATACAATATATAAAAATTTATGGTATACACCTAAGGCTAACACTTAGGGAGAAATTCATAGCATTCAGCACTTACATTAGAAAAGGAAAAAAACCTGTCAAATCTGAGTTTCCATCTTAAGAAACTGAGAGAGTAAAGCRAAGTAAACCCAAAACAAGCAGAAGGAAGAGAATAAAGATAAAAAACAGAMACCAATTTCAATTTGAAATTTCAAAAAGAAAAATGAAAGCCAAAATAAATGAAAAAAACAATAAAACTGGTAAACCTCTTGCCAGACTTACCAAGAAAAAAAGGAGAAAACACAAATTATCAATATAAGGAATCAAAGAGGGAACAGTACAGATCTTATAGAAATTTAAAAAATTAAAAGAATATATATCACAAACAGGTCCATGCTCATAAATTATATGACATAGATGTAWGGGATAAATTCCATGAAGAATAGATACAAAAGCTTCATCTCCAAATCCTTTATAGGGAGGGAGGTAAAGGGATAGRAATAAAAAAGAAAAGACAGGAGCAAGAAATAAACTAAATGTTTGCTTTGGGGATGATTTTTAATACTACTCAAAGGATGGTTCTTTAATATAAAAATTCCAAGTTTCTCATGTTTTCCTTTATAATTTGGAGGATACAACAAAAATCAGCTGATATTGCCAAGATCTGTGACAAAGGCATTTGCTATCTGAGAGTTATAATAAATCTYAAAACTTAACAGAGCAGTAGTTTCTATTCTCTCACATTTTAAGTTTAATTGGAAGGACTTCAGTAAAACCAAGAGATTCTATTAAYAGTAGATACACTGAGGCATGTCACTGTGAATGTGCTTTCTGAGCACATTCTCAACAGGCCATGAGCAGATATCTCAATAGAGTTAAAAGCTTTCCATTCCTGTGCCCAGTTTGATATCCAGGCCCCAGGGCACACACAAGAACGGCTAACTKGAACCACAGCTAATCCAGGCTTTTTAGTTATATCTGGAACCACAAAAGGGATCGACGGTTTCCCCAAGGCCTACCCTCATACTCCAAAATGCACCCAGTACGGTCCTGTACTCCTTCCTAAGAGATATCTGAAAGGCCACCAGCAGGTGGAGAACATAGAATGTCATTCCTTAGAACATATTACTTCTAGTTTTTAGTCAAGGAAAACAACACATTTGCATACACACATCCGTGTGTATACACCATCGCACATGCACGTACATGTGTCTGAAGCTTTGTAAAATTAGATAAAGAGAAAAAATCTGCTTAGAAAAAAATGTTATAAAAGTATTATGTTAATCATGATTATCTTCAAATAACAAGATGGCAGATGATTTTTTACATTTTTCTTTGAGTATTCTTGCATTTCTGAAATTGTATATGAATGAACATTAATTTTGTAATAAAAATGGCTTTCAAAAAATTTATAAGATAGGAATTTTAGTTCCTTACTAAAGAAACAAATAACTGGAAGTGATTCTGAGAGGTTTTGACCCAAGTATTTTCAAAGTTTTTAGGTAAACCATTCAGGCATTTATAAACATCTACCTCAAAGGGCTTACAACTAAGTACAACTCCTGTGCACTCTGATCAGCAGGGCTAATCATAGCATCAGCATTAGTATTGTGAGTAATGAGCTCCCAAACTGCATGCAAAAGCCTGTGGCCAACAGCAGATGCAGTTCCAACTGAAAGCCAACCAAAATGCATGGACTGGTCAACAGATGTTGCATTCTATTTTCAATCTCGTTTATTTAAATGTTCCTTCTTATTTTCTTGAACCTAACTGGAGAAATTAGGAATCCGTTTGCTGGCCAACACCTGGGAGTAGCTGGAGATCATGAGGCTCACATCATTGGAAGCACAAATGACAAAGGTGGAAGGAAGCCATCTGTGAGGTAGACTTGCCATATCAGAATCGCTGCAGAAGTTCTGTTCAAGCTGATGAACACGATTCTCTAGTAAAAGTGGGTCCCTGAGGCTTGAAATTCAGACACCCTGAATGAGGCAATAATGTGCCTCCTCCCTCTGAGAGCTGTTGAGAGGAGTGCATGTGGGCCAGCTGAGCTACTTGAAGATTTGACCTGCAGGCTGTGAGCACCTAATGCTGTGAGCACCTAAAGAAGTACACGACAACTTAGTACTGCAACTTCACAGCCTTWTGGAAGAAGGTGGAGGAACCACAAGCTCCTTCCATCTATGTGCTTGGAGTGATTCTTGTTTACTGCCTTCAAATGTCAAGGACAGTGGGGAACCTCTTCAGTGAGTCCAGCCCAGGACCTGAAGCAAGGAATCCCTCAACAGCCTATTTAAACACTGAAACTCTCAAACATGTTGACTTACAGCTGACCTGCTTCTGGCATCAGGCCATTCAAACAATCACAAGGTGCAAGTGCTAGACTTAGGACAYACACAACACCACAGACTTGCTCTGCAAATCACTACCAAAAAAACTGTTTTTATTATTTATTTCAGWTCACTACTGGGAAATCTCATCATTTACCTAGAAGAGTAAGAATATCCTATGAAAAAACATTAGTTGCTGAGAAGACAATGCTATTAATAAAGGATTTACTCTGACCTGCTAACATTGTTAGAGATTCCAGTGAGGCCCTCCAATKAACTGTCAAAAGACACTTCCTTTGCTTGAGTTCTCATGATCCTGACTTGACCGATGAGAACACAGGATGAGTGATTTGATTTCCTAATTAATGGAAAGCTTGATGTGATGCAATAAAACAAGCACAGGAAAAAAAATGTTTATGAAAGTGGAAGGAACAAACTCTGACAGCAGTTGGGTTTTATTTTTTGGCTTGACTTCTTCCTCCATTTATTTCTCATGWAGATTTGTACACAGTTAACCACATACACCTAACAGAACTTAAAGAGGTTCAATGATGGACTCAACAGCATAACTTGATCCCTCTAGGTCCAGTTGAACTTTCTGTGATGATAAAATTGTTCTGCATCAGTGCTTTCCAATATGGCAGCCACTAGCCATGTGTGGCTACTTGGCAATGAAATGTGTCTACTACAAATTTTATATATTTTAAACCTTAGTTAACTTACTTTTAAATACATGAAGTTAGTGGCTACAGTATTAGTACACTCTAAGTTACCTGTAAGCTTAGCTCTGTAACTCAGTAATAAATTCTCTAATCATGGCCAGCTAGTTGCCAACTTATTTTCTTTTTTTTATTAGAGCTTGACAYAGTAGTTGGGTTCATTCCAACAAAATCATAAATGTATGGAATTCTATTTCAGTTCACAATGCCCCCCTTTTCCCTCCCATTCTCCCTCCTATTTCCAGTTCTCCTTCATTTACTCTCTAGACTTCCTTGTGCTCATCCATTTATTTATATTTCATTGGCTCTTTTTTATTTATACATAAAGGTAAAATTCCCTGTGGTATATTTTTATATACACATAACATGATTTTTTTAAGAATTCATTCTGCATTGCCTCCTTCCCATCCTTCCTCTCTCCCTCTCGTTCTCCTTCTACACTACTGATCTTCCCTTTATATTTATGATATCTTATTTTTCCTTCCTCCTTTCCTTTATTTTACTMTAGCTTCCACAAATGAGAAAAAAACATTCAATCTTTGAGTGTCTAAGTCTTTGCCAACTTTTTTTTCAAATAACTAAGGTAACTGAGGTGGAAACCTGGCCAAGAAGAAAATCTAACCCCACTGCTAGTAAAGTGTCACAATTGCATACTCTGTGTCAATGAGGAAACAGATCATTCTCATATATAACAAAAAGACAACATGATATTCAAGATTTTGAAAGAGGAACTTCCTCCAGGTAAGAAGATAACAGAAGTATTATTTAAAATTTCCAAATAACATACATTAATAGATTCAAGAAGCTCAGCAAACCCAAAGGTATCATCAGAATGAAACGAAGATATGACACCAATGTTGGAATTTTCAGACAGGGAATTTAAAATGATTATGATTAATAGTTAAGGGTTCTGATGGRGAAAGTAAACAGTATGTAAGAACAGATGGGTAATGTAAGCAGAGAAACAGAAACTTTAAGAAAGAATCAAAAGAAAATAATAGAAATCAAAAACATTCTAATAGTAATAAAGAATGTCCTTAATAGGCTCATCAATAAACCAGATAGATACAGCTGAAGGAAGAATCAGTGGGCTTAAAGATAGATCAATACAAAAGTCCCAAACCAAAACGCAAAGAGGAAAGAAAGAGTGGGGAGGGAGGGAGAGAGGAAGGGAATAATAATTGTAAGGCAATTGTAAAAGGTGTAACATATACATAATTAGTATACACAAGTGGAACAATTAACAAAGAAGWATTTGAAATAATGACAGCCAAGAACTTTCCAAAGTTAATAAGAGACACCAAGTCACAAAACCAGGGAGCTCAGAACACCAAACAAGAACCACAACCAGACATATCATATTTAAACTGCAGAAAATCAAAGAGAAATTTGTAAAATAAGCCAGGGGCAGAGGGATAGGGTGGGGAAAATCCACATTACCTACAGAGGAACAAAGATGAAAGCTGCTCTGTAGCTTTGTAATTTTGCCATAAGAAACTGTGTAAACAAGAAGAGAATGGTCCAAGAAAGCAATCTAGCCGGGTATAGTGGAGCAAGCCTGTACTCCCAGCAATTTGGGAATTGAGGCAGGATTACAAGTTCAAGATCAGCCTCAGCAACTTAGTGAGATCCCATCTCAAAATAAAATA